CTGATTGCAAGCAAGGGGAAAAGAGCAACTCTATGGCAGAGAAATCACCTGGACCAAGCGCTCCAGCTTCATATTGCCCTGTAGGTGTTGGGTACCCGGATAGCATGTTGGTAGAGGGACACTGCACCTCTGGGGTAGTCTCCAGATCCCATACCTCCAGTCTCACCATGACGAAGGAGCAGACAAGCCCACTGTGAGGGCCCTTCTCAACACGCATGACTGGTATTCTTCAAACTATCCAGGATCGTGAAAAATGAGGAAAACCTGAAATCTATCACAACTGGAAAGAGACTGAGAAAGCATGACGACTGAATACGGCAGCCTGCATTGCCTCCTGGGCCAGGAAAGGGGTGTTGAGGGACAACTCAGTAAGGCCAAATAGTCTGTGAGATCGTTGATAGTATAATAACCATGTTAGATGTTTAGCTTTGCAAATTATGTATGGTTATACAAGATGTTAGGGAAAACTGAGTGTATAGAGGAGTTCTCCCACTATCTTTGCAACTATTCCAAAAGAAAGTGGTTTTTTTTTGTTTGTTTAAAAAAAATTCTATTGATATTCTGATCGAAAATGTATTAACTGTGGATTCATTTGAGAAATAGGCCATCTTTGCAGTATGTTTTCTGAAAGTTTATTTATTTGTTTTAAAGTCAGAGTAACAAAGAGATCGTCCATCCACTGGTTCACTTCCCAGATGGCTGCCACAACCCAGGTTGCACCAGGCCAAAGCCAGGAGCCAGAAGCTTCAACTGGGTCTCCCACAAGGGTAGCAGGAGCCCAAATGCTCAGACCATCTTCCGCTGCTTTTCCCAGGCCGTTAGCAGAGAGCAGGATCGTAAGTGGAACAGCCAGGACAAGAAGTGGTGCCCATTGGATGCTGGCATCATAGGTGGCAGTTTTACCTACCACACCGCATCGCTGGCCTCATCTATAGTACTTAATCACTGAGGGATATATGTGGGTTTTTTTATTTGTCTTAAAGCCACCATACAGCAATACAATATTCTTTATCTAAGGAATGTTGTCTCTCAATTTTTTCCAGGATTTCTCCTACTTGTTGGTTGCTGGAAACATCTATACACATATTTAAGTCATGTTTAATCTAAAAAAAAAAAAAAAAAAAAAAAACAGGTTACCAGGACTGGCCTTTAGCCTAGCAATCAATACAGTGACTAAGAGGCCCCTGGCTCGTGTCAGAGTGCTGGAGCCTCGTTGCTGGTGTTGCAGCTGCGGCGGCATGAGTCGCCTGCACCTCTTGTCACACAGGTCTGCTTCTTGCCCCCAGGACGCGGCGCATTCTCCCTCCTTATCCGGATTCCTCAGGGACTTCATGGCTCCCGTGTTCCGGCTCTTCTGCTGCAGCTGTGGTGCCACAGCCTCCCTCCTCCTGCTGGGTTGCAGCGTCTCTGTCCAGGACGGCTGCAGTCTTCTGAGTGTCAGTCTCGGCTCTGCCAGCCTCTTTGTCTCACATGGACGGGGAAGTGCAGCAGGAATCTTGGGCAGGAGGGCAGGGTACCAAGGCTTTTAGCAGGAAAACAGGTTTTAGTCCTTACGCCGGCAGTCCCAGAGGATTTGTATCCAGCATGTGAGCCCTGAACAAAACAGGCCATTGTCCTCTATACCCCGCACAAACAACTGTAAGATATTTTTTTTAACTCATTTGGTTACACATATTTGATTAGATTGTTAAAAGATATAGCACTGCTTATAAAGCCATAACCCGAAGTTATACCTGCATGCATTAGGTTGCATTAGCTGACCTGGCTACAATTGTGGTATTTCTCAGAAAGTTCCCCCCATCCCTCCACCCCACCCCACCCCCACCCCCAGGAAGCCCCTGCTGCCCTCCACTCCTGCCTTTAGCCAGTTGTTTTCCTACCTAAGGGGAGGGGGTCCCTGCCACATTCCACTCTTTGATGCTCAGACCCTCCCAGGGTCAGAGGGCATCACCCTTGTCATCTTGACTCAAAGCATGTTCCCACACCATCACATGAGCAGCCATTTTTCTTTTCTTTTCTTTTTTAAAGATTTATTTATTTATTTGAAAGTCAGAGTTACAGAGAGCAAGAGAGAGAGAGAAAGAGAGAGAGAGAAGGGACAGAGAGAAATGTTTCCATCTGCTTGTTCACTGCCCGCATGGCTGCAATGGCCAGGGCTGGGCCAGACCAAATTCAGGAGCCAGGAGTTTCTTCTGGGTCTCCCATGTAGATGCAGGGCCCAAGCACTTGGGCCACCCTCCACTGCTTTCCCAAGCACATTAGTAGGGAGATGGATTGGAAGCATAGCCGAGACCCGAACCAGCCCCCATATGGGCCAGCACTGCCAACGGTAGCTTAACCTGCTATGCCACAATGCTGGCCCCAGCTGTTTTTCTTCTTGACCATAGCCTCAATGAAGCTGGAGGCCAATCTTATTACCAGGGGTGCCAGACAGTGAAGGATCAAGCAACTCCCCAACATTAAAACTACAGTGTCTGTGAGGGCTTTGGACCCTTTCTCCTGGAAGTAATGGAAGCCATTCTCCAAACCAGCTGCTGGGGTTCCAGCCTCTCCTGGCTTGGACAGGAACGTGGGCAATGTTTTCTCATTTGCTCAGCAATCTCTTTTATGACCTTCTTGGAATTATCTATTTGTAAACAGCAATTACTCAGATTGAATTTTTCACAAACTCCTCCCTCGGAGGCAAATAAATAGTCTAAAACCAAGCAGTTTTAATAAACAGCACTGCACATTGGGTAATCTATTTAGCCAGCACATAAAAAGCAATTGAAGTTTTATTAGCTATAATTTTAACTATGGCTTGTAATCTAATGATGTGGTTTAACATATAAATGGGGGTACGGTAGCCCCAGGAGCCATCCTCTGCCCAGGATGGCTAGTACTGGATTATCCACTCCGGGAGCCAGTCTTTATCTTTCTAGTCACCAATTTTTATGGGTGTGGCAGGCATTTTCTCTGGTCCCCCTGGTCTTGGTGTACAGGGACCACCAACTGTTCTCCTTTAGCTACTGGGAACAAAAAGGCGGCAAAGCAGACAGTACCCAGTACACACCATCCTGACCAGTGCTGCGGCAGCTTAACATGGGCTGCTTCTCTACTTATCTAACACAGCCCCCTGAGCATGCCACAATATATTTTTGGTGAGACTGGCCCAGCCCTTGCTGTTGGCAGTTCCATTATTAAGTACAGACTCCTGAGACAGTCCCCTCCTGGAAATAATGGGCACAGTAAAGTGGGGTGGCAGGGGCACCCTCTCCAGAGCTAGCTGTAGGGGGCACAGTGGAAACCAGCCGCAACCAAGCATCCTGTCAGCAGGAGTCTTTTGCTTCAAGTCCAGTCATCCGAATTAGTCTCGGTCAAGGCTACAGCAAACAGCAGGACAAGAATTACAACCCCGATTAGGAACTGAGGGTTACAATGCAGTCACACAGAGGGCAAGAGTAGTCGACGCGGTTTGTCTAATGGCCGACTCCTGGGGCTCTAGCTGTGTGTAGATCTGTCAGCTTGGGAGTGACTAAAACAGGGCTGCTGTCCTTGGGAGCTCTTCTGCAGGCCCAGGGGGTCCCTGGGGATGGTCAGCCTGCAGGGCGTTGTTGGGTCTGAGCCGCACTTCCAGCCCAGCTCTCTGCTGTGGCCCGGGAAAGCAGTGGAGGATGCTTCTGCACCCGCATGGGAGACCAGGAAGAAGCTCCTGGCTCCTGGCTTTGGATCAGCACAGCGCCGGCTGTGGCAGCCATTTGGGGGGTGAACCAATGGAAAGAAGACCTTTCTCTCTGTCTCTCTCTCTCTCACTGTCTAACTCTGCCTGTCAAATTTTAAAAATTTTAAAACAAAGTAATTGGGTTCCTGACACCCATGTGGGAAACCTGGATTCAGTTCCCAGTTCTTGGCTTCCGCCTTCATCCAGCCCCAGCCATTGTTGGAGTGAACCAGTGGACCAGTGGATGGGAGTGTTTCTCTCTCTCTCTCTCCTGTGTGTCTGCCTCTCACATGAAAATAAAAATTAACAACTCTAGAAGTATACAGGTGTGGATCCTGGTTTTGTAGAGATGGAACTTACACGGTATTGATGCTGGAGATGGTCTGCTCCGGGGTTCTTGTGTTGGTGTAGGAAAGAATTCAGACGTGAGCCAATCGTTTAATGGAGAGAATGCACCTGACAGACCAGGCGGCCATCTTGGAAGAGACTGGGAGCACAGCATGCATCCAACTGGAGCTTTTAGGGACGTGAGTAGGGGTCCCTCATTTTTCTTCCCCTCCTCCCTCCTCTGGGAAAATGTGGATGGGGGATTCCTGGATATGGAGCTCCTGAAAATCCTCCCCGCACGGTATGATGGGACTTAACATTCCCCTTGGTGCAGGGCAGGGGAAGTCTCTGGAGCTACCCTCAAGGAGAGGGCTGAACCCATCTGACAGTTACAGAACAAGAGCACTCACTTCAGGTGTGGCTGCTGGTCGGCTCGCAAGGCTTGTTTCCTCGTTCCATTGCACAAACATTTATTTTCTTTAATAATTATTTCTTTCCTTCCCCTTGGGCCCCTTTCACATTCTCCTAGAGCTGAGGAACCCTAGGTTGATATCTACCTACCTAGCCACCTTTACAGTATTGAGATCTTTCTTGGAAAAAATATCAAACTAGGAACACAGAATTAGGTACGAGGAATGTTTATGTAGAATGAGAAAATAAATCATAACAAATTAAACGATCTCTTGTAGCATTCAGGAGAAACGCTTCCTGATTGCAACCCCACTCCCGCACCCCAGGGGAATACAGAGCCCACCGGCCCCTGTGAGTGCGCATACCCTCTGATGAGGTGGGGAAGCAGCGGCAGGTGTTCCCACTAAACCCGTTTTTAGAGAAGAGCGAGGCTTTGGCTGGGTGATGGCCAAAGTCAGAATCTGAAATGAACGCAGATGGGCGCCAGGGCGCTCGCCCCGCGGCTCATCAGCAGCCCCGAGGGTCCAGGGGGGCTTCATTAAGGACGGCCCGGAGGAGAAGCCACAGTGAGAGGAGGCGCTTAAAAAACGGCAGAAAGGAATGGAGCCCCTGGAGAGCGGTGCACAGGCAGGGGCGCTGTGCGGCGGCAGGGCCTGGGCATCGCCCCAGGCAACGCGGCCGGCTCCGGGGGAAGGCGAACACGAGCTGGGACAGAGGTGGGGCAAGCAGGACTGCAAGGGCGGGCGCTGAAGGAACCGCGCGGCGAAAAGGCAGCCACTGGACACCCGGCCAGCGCGGAGTCGGAAGCGGGTCTTCCGAGCCCGGCGACCGGCAGGAGCCGTCCGACGGTGACAGGCACGACACCGGGAGGGGCACGGCGGGCGACCCAGGAGGCGCGAGAAGGCCCTCTACCTGCTACTAGGGCAGTGCAGCCAATCGCAGGCATTTCTGCCAGCATCTCGCCGCGATTAACCTAGCCAAGTACTACCTCGCGCACCACTGCAGCCCCCAGCAAATATGGCTGACTGTGCGGCGGAAAAGCCGGAAGTAGGCGGTCCTGGGCGGGGCTTGTGGCGGGAGGGCGTGGCCATCGCGCCAGCATGGATTTGCGGTCTCTGAGAAGCACGCTCCACAGCCAATCGCGTCCGTCTGTCGCCTCGGGTGGGTCCACCAGGCTCCGCCCCCCGCCCAGGTGTTGCCCTCCAGCAAGGTGCCGGCTAAGTGTCCGAGATTTCCCTGCGCTGCTCTGGTGGGACCCTTGTGGTTCTTTGGGCTCCGGATAACAGCGATGGAAGGTGCGCGGGGGGACGCCCCGGAGTCCAACTCCGCAACCCCCGAGTGTGCGGAGCCGGCTGGCTCGGGCGGCGGCCCCGAGGGGTCGACTCCCGAGGAGCGCGAGGGCGGCGCCCGGCCCCTGGAGGCGGCCCCCAAGAGACTCTGCGGGTATTTGAGTAAGTTTGGCGGCAAGGGGCCCATCCGGGGCTGGAAATCCCGCTGGTTCTACTACGACGAGAGGAAGTGTCACCTGTATTACTCGCGGACCGCACAGGACGCCAACCCCTTGGACAGCATCGACCTCTCCAGCGCGGTCTTTGACTGCAAGGCGGACGCTGAAGAGGGGACCTTTGAAATCAAGACCCCCGGCCGGGTTATCACCCTGAAGGTACACTCCCTGGGCTCGGCTGGGTGTGTGGTCCCCCGGCCGGGATGGCCGCCGCTGGCCGGGCACCGTGTGCTTCCCCAAGCGCGGTCGCCCGCGTTTCCTCCGCGAGTTCCCCCAAGGCAGGGATGACGTTTCCACCTTCCGGATCGAAAGTCTGGGTCGCAGAGATATGCAGTGCCCAGTCCGAGGTCACGCTCCCCGGGGCGGTGTAGTCCCCGCAAGGCGGCGCTTGGAGCCCCGCGGTCCTCCTATGCCTCGTGCGGTGTCAACACCTGTCCTAACAGTGTGCTGACCTCAAGGCTCCCACCTGGGCCGGAAGTAGGGTCAAGAGTTGCAGTCCCCTCAAGGCCAAAATTCTGATTCACTTTTCTTGGATGTTTTGGCCAAGGGGAGTGAATACCGAGAAAACGTTGGCAGGGCTTGGGAGGATAAGACTTAGGTGTGACTGATGAGCCTAAATTGTGCATCCAGACATGTCTAAACTAGTGAGTACTGAATAAGTGTTGTTAACACACTTGGGCACGGGGGGTGACGGAACGAAGGTCGGAGGATTCCTGTCAAGAGGAGACGTCCCACAACTTAGTTGGAAAGACAGAGCTCAACTGAGAGATTTTTTTTTTTTTTTAGATTTATGTATTTGAACGAGTGACACGCAGAGAGAAAGACAGAGATCTTCTATCTGCTGGTTCACTCCACAAATGGCCACGCGGCCAGGGCAGGGCCAGACCAAAGCCAGGAGCCAGGAGCTCTGTCTGGATCTCCCACGAGGGCGGCAGAGGCCCAGGCACCTGGGCCCTCTCCTGCTGCTTTCGCAGGTGCTTTGGGCAGCCGGATCACAGGCAGAGCAGTCAGGACTCACAGGCAATGGCTTAACCCCCTGCGCCACAACACCAGCCCCTGGGGTAAGAGTTGTGTGGGCATCAGAGAAAACTGGGCAAAGCAGTAGCACTCCCCTCTGCCATCCCCACTCCCACCTCCAGTTAACTGGGCGCAGGTTCGGTTCCTCTTTACCCACTGGAGTTGGCCGGTTACCAGGCTGAGAGGCTCAGCTAAAAACTTGGAAACCAGGAATTTCAGTCCAGGAAAGGCATTCTGGCGGTCATGTGTGTCCCTGCACAGGGTGAGCGCTGTGCACAAGGTCTCCTGTCACTCACTCTTCCGGTGAACACGTGTGCGGGTGGCTGTATGCTAGGCCCTAGGGTGTGGGGCCGAGTCAGCCCCATCTGTGTCCCCCCAGACAGCTTACAGTCTGGTGGAAGAGACTGACAGGCACTTGGTGCACACACTGACATGTTCTAGGGAGATGCTGTGCTGTCCGTACCTGAGAAGTGTGACAGAGGGGTCATCCTGCCGAGTGGGAGGAGCTACCCAGAAGGGCCTCCTGGAGGCTTGAAAGAAGACACAGGTTTCTGATGATGGGAGGGAGAAGAGTACCCCAGGCCGAGCCCCATGAGCAGCATGAGCAGGGATAGGAAGACGTGGGACAGCTGCCAGTGTGCCAGCAAGTCACAGCAGCCGAGGGGGGAAGGGGGGAGATGGAGCTGCAGAGCAGAGCCCGCAGTGATGGGGCCGGGGGCGCTGGGCTTTGTCCCGTGGGCTAGTGTGAGAGCCTCAAGCCAGGAAGCGCTGGCAGATTCAAGTGTTTGGAAAGCCCAGTAGGCTATCGTGCAGGCACAGTCGGGAAGGCCGCCAGGAGGTGAGCAGGAGAGGCTGACAGCCGAGCTGGCCGTGGCTGGGGATGGCGGGGCAGAGAAGTCTGATGACTGCCTGGAGGGTAGTGCCTGGTGGGAGAGAACTGGGGGTGCAGAGCCCATGGCACAGCCAGGTGTGCCTCCTGCACCAGCCGCTAAAATCCCAGAACAGCTCGCCAAAGCTGCTCCAGCGCCTAGCCCAGTCCCTCACCCAGGAAAAGGGAGGGAGGGGTTCTTCCAGTAGGGGTTGGGGGGGGGATCTGTCTGGAGCCCATCAGCGATAATATCCTGGGGAAGCCCTGGGAGGGGCTGAGACACCCCAGGGAAAGTGCACGAAAGAGCAGACAGGCTGGTGGGCACCGGCTGATCTTACTGGTACCATGTGCCAGGCTGCAGGCCCAGGGCACTCCTCGCCTGGGGACATCCTGAGAAGGAGCCTGCCCGAGCCCGCCCGAGCCTGCTGCTCTCCTGTGGCCTTGCTTGTGGGCAGCTCCAGGGGACTCCCCCCGACACACACACACCCAGCCAGCTGCCCGTCTTCAGCAGCCGCCCGCAGCCCGTCACATGCCTGCTGTCTGGAAGCCACAGTCTCCAGGCTCAGGTCTGGACGTGGGAGACCCGGGTTCTGGGGCCGACTCTACCGCCATGTGTCTGGGCCACTTCAGAGCTTAGTTTCGCCATCTGTCCAAAGAATCTATTATTCCTGGCTCGTCCCCTCTTGGAAGATCCGGGAATGAGAGGATGTGAAAGTGAAAGTGGCTACCTGGCCCACCCACTGCTGGGACGCCAGTGTTCAGCATTGATCATTATCTTATCAGGAGCGCCACAGCCCGGAAGGCCCCGCCACATTGTCATAGTGTGCATGGGGCTTCCCGGCCCCTAGTCCTATCCGTGTTCAGTGCATCCCCAAAGCGGGAAGGATTGCCCCAACTCCCCCAGAACACAGCTGAGACCTGGAGCTGCCACGCAGGGAAGAGCGTGGTGGTTCCAGGGCCTGCCTCTCTCAGCACCTCCAGGTTCCTCTCTCCAGCCAGCAGGTTCTGAGCACCTACCGTATGGCAGGTACCCTGCAGGCACGTCCCCTCCCTCATCACTTTCCAGCCTCATAACCACTCTGTGAGGCCCAGAGAGGTTGAGGATGCTCACCCAATTATCTTCTGTGGCCAGGAAGCACGTGGTATTTCAGAGGTAGACACCCACCCGAGTGATCCTTTTTTCTGAGAAGGAGAGAATTCCGAAGCCTCCCGTGACCTCCCTCACCCCCCACACCTGAGGCCGCTCTGCAGGTGCAGGGCCTTGCCAACTAATCCTTGTGCTTCTCAGGCCGCCACCAAGCAAGTGATGCTGTACTGGCTGCAGCAGCTGCAGATGAAGCGCTGGGAGTTCCACAACAGCCCGCCTGCGCCTCCCGCTGTGCCCGATGCTGCCCTGGCTGGGAACGGGCCCGCCGTGCACCTCGAGCTAGGTACCTGCTGGGCTGGCCTCCTGCCCTCACCCCAGCCTTCACCCTGCTGTCGGGAGTGAGCGGGAGGACGGGCAGAGAGCCAGGGACAGGACTCGGGGTTCCTGAGGGCAAGAATACGGGCTACCTGGGGCCAATTCCTGATCCTGTGTGGCCTCAGACAAGTTGCTCAACATGTCTGAACTTCAGTTCCCCTTCCTGTGAAATGGGGTGAATCATTAGGCCTGCTTCTTAGAGTTCTGAGGCTTAAATCAATCTGCGCCTGCAGTGGTTAGGACAGTGCTGCAGGTGACCCGAGCCTGGAAATGTGCACCACTGCTGTGATCGCCAGGATGGGGAGATCTTAAGAAATGCAGCTCTTGGGACCGGCGCCGTGGCTCACTTGGCTAATCCTCCGCCTGCGGCACTGCATTCCATGTGGGCGCCGGGTTCTAGTCCCAGTTCCTCCTCTTCCAGTCCAGCTCTCTGCTGTGGCCCAGGAAGGCAGTGGAGGATGGCCCAAGCGCTTGGGCCCTGCACCTGCATGGGAGACCAGGAGGAAGCTCCTGGTTTGGGATCGGCGTAGTTCCAGCATAGTTCCAGCCATAGCAGCCATTTTGGGGGTGAACCAATGGAAGGAAGACCTTCCTCTCTATCTTTCAAATAAAGAAATAAAGAAATAAAAAATGAATTTTTAAAAAAAATGCAGCTCTCTGGGGCCAGCACTGTGGCATAGCGGGTACCTCTGCGCCCAACATGGGTGCCCGTTCATGTCCCGGCTGCTGCATTTCCGATCCAGCTCCCTGCTAATGGGCCTGGGAAAGCAGCAGAAGTTGGCCCAAGTGCTTGGGCCCCTGCACCCACTTGGGAGACCTGAAAGAAGCTCCTGGCTTTGGCCTGGCCCAGTCCTGGCCATTGCAGTCATCTGGGGAGTGAACAAGCGGGTGGAAGACTCTCTCTCTCTCTCTAGATATAGATATAGATATAGATATAGATATAGATATAGATATAGATATAGATATATAGAATCTCCCCTTCTCTTTCCTTTGCCCAGAAAATTCCTGCTTACTCTCCATGGCCACCCTCCAGTGTCACTCCCTCCTCCCCACAGCCTGGGGGCCTTGTGGGCCTTGTGGGTTTTGCCGGCTGGACTCGGTGTGGGACCTCGGCATTAGTTTGACGTCTCTGAGGCAGCCTCTCCACACTGTGATCTCGTCCCCAGGGTCCTGGCCTGTCTCCAACCGTTTCCTTGCTCCCTGGGTCCCCAGCCCCTGGTGTCCTGCGTGAGACAGTTGGTGTGTGTGGAGTGAATGTGTGAACACCTGGAATGGCATCGTTAGACGAGGAGGGGCACGGAAGGCCCTTAGCATGGTGCTCGGTATCGTGATGGCACCACGTGTGTGGGCGTCGCATACATATGCGATTCCTAGCCCAGCACCCACACACGCTTGCTATTGCAACGAGCGCTCCTTTCACTGCTGCTAGCAGCCATCCATCGGTTCTGCGGGCAGCCCTTTGGAAGTTTCTGTCTCTGCACCTCTACTGCAGCCCCACTGCCCGCCTGCCAGGAAGCCAACCACAGCTGCATGGAGAACTGCAGCCTGAGGTGGCGTAGTCACCCAGCGTCCGCCTCAGGCCGGAAGCCAGGGGGCCCTCCCCTGTGTGTCTCGAAGGGACATGTGAGGAGCTAGGCTGTCAGAAGCTGCCCTGAGGCACTTTTGCTGAGCAGAGCTGGCCCACGTGCTTTGATTCCCTTCAGTACATGCGGCAGGGCCTCTCCTGGGCCAGCCCAGCCCAGCCATGGGTCTGGGCAGAGGGCATGTGGATGCCCCAGGGACTGGGGTGCCAGTCGCCAGAGGAGGACCCTGGCCTCTCGTGGGAGTGGTGTGGGTAGCAAGCCGGCTGGCCCTGGATTAGCCGCCTGGGGCCGCCCGCCCTCCTCTGCAGCCTCCACCCTTCCTGAGGAAGCAGGGCGGCCACGCCCAGAGCAGTGAAGACCTCCTGACCGGGTCTGACTTTGAGTCACGGCCTCCATCCTGTCGGGCAGGCGGCTTGCAGCTTGCCCTTGGGTAATCCGCACGGCGTGTCCCTGTGCTTTGAGCATTTGCAGTTTTATTTTTACTTTACCTAAACAGGGGTCTCCACAGAGCTGAAAAAGATGAGAGGAAACCTGCAGATGTATAAAAATATAATACCTTGTTGCTAAAGTAGGCTGTAATTTACAAGGGGCTTTTGTAAATGTATATCGTCATCAAAGTATGCTCCTGCTGTAACCTTCACCTGCACTACCTTACTTACCCTGCACACAGTGTTTTCTTCTTAAGGTTTATTTATTTATTTGAGTGGCAGAGAGGGAGAGAAAGAGTGAGAACTTCCATCCACTGGCTCATTCCCCAAATGGCTGCAGAAGTCAGGAGCCTGGAATTCCATCCAGGGCTCCCACGTGGGTACAAGGGCCCAAGCGCTTGGGCCGTCTTCCTCTGCCTACCCGGGAGCATTAGCAGGGAGCTGGATTGGAAGTGGAACAGCAGACACTCAATCAGTACTACGATATGGGGTATTGCCATTGCAAGCAGCTTAGCCCTGCTGTGTCACAATGCCAGGCCCTCAAAGAAAAAATCTTAATTTATGTGAGAGGCAGAGAGAGAGACACAGAGCTCCCACCTGCTGGTTCACCTCCCAGATGCCCAAAAAGGCCGGGCCTGGGTCAGGAGCATGCTGGAACTCAGTCGTGTCTCCCACGTGGGAGGCAGGAGCCCAGCTGCATGGGCCGTCACTGCTGCCGCTCAGGGTGCAGATTAATAGGAAGCTGGAATCGGGAAAGGAGCTGGGACTGAACCCAGGCGCCCCAACGTGGGATGCAGGCATGCAAAGTGACTTCTTAAGCACCAGGCCCAATGCCCATACAGCAGTCACAGGGCAGTGTTAGTCCCATTTTGTAGAAGACAGAAGTGAGGCTTGCTGGTAAGACAGTTCCCGTGGTGAGACTCAGCCCTTACTCTTCAGCCTCACGGCCCCCTTACAGAGCTGAGGGGGCAGCCAGCTGCCATCCGAGCCCTCTAGGGAAGCAGAGCCCTCTTGGGCCAGAGTCTTTCTTGTGCAGGTAGTGACCCTCCCACTAGTGATTGGGCAGCCCCTGGGGCTCAGGCCAAAGGAGAATTACAAATAGGTGTTTTATGGCTGGCGCCACGGCTCACTAGGCTAATCCTCCGCCTTGCGGCGCCGGCACACCGGGTTCTAGTCCCGGTCGGGGCGCCGGATTCTGTCCCGGTTGCCCCTCTTCCAGGCCAGCTCTCTGCTGTGGCCAGGGAGTGCAGTGGAGGATGGCCCAAGTGCTTGGGCCCTGAACCCCATGGGAGACCAGGAGAAGCACCTGGCTCCTGCCATCGGATCAGCGCGGTGCACCGGCCGCAGCACGCCAGCCGCGGTAGCCATTGGAGGGTGAACCAACGGCAAAGGAAGACCTTTCTCTCTGTCTCTCTCTTTCTCACTGTCCACTCTGCCTGTCAAAAAAAAAAAAAGGTGTTTTACATGATCCCTCACTGAGGGCATTCCTCCAGCCTAGGTAGAGGAAGCTCAGAGCGCAGACTAGTGCTTGGGATCATCAATTCAGGTTCTACAGGGAGTGCGGGTCTCACCTGGCATGGCTGTCCTGTGCCACTTAGCCCTGCACAGCCCTTTGAACAGGGAGCGTGTGCCTTCCTGGGCAGCCCCTCCCGTCTCGATAGGGCCAGCTTGTTGGAGAAGCTGCTGTGCTGAGCCGCCTGGTTCGTGGAGAATGAAATACCGCGGAGCTGCTCTGTGGGTCTCTGTGCCTGTCACCTGCTGGCTGGGACGTCAGCCACAAAACTTGCCCTGTCGCAGCTGTGCTGTTTCCTCAGTGGTACAACAACCTGTGGTGACATCAAGCCCCCAGGCTACTCAGATCGAGGGATCTCAGACCACAGGTTATAGGGAAACGGGGGGTGAGAGAAATCTTAGAAAAACGACAATCGCTTTATTTCCTCTGAATGAGAAAGACTTAGAGATGGTTAGAGTGCCGATGCACAGGGAAATCTTACTTGTTTTGATTTAGTTTAACGTCTGGAATAAGGACTACTTTGCAAGCCATCCAGACTGTGGGCTTTATGTTTTCTAAATATTTTCATAAACTTTAGCTCCTAAAGAATCAGGTAAACAGTATCCTTCCTGTTTCATTTTCTTCTGCTTTTTAAGATTTATTTGAAAGACAGTTACAGAGAGGGGGACGGGTGAGGAGGGAGAGAGGGGGAGAGAGAGAGATCTGTCTGCTGGTTCACATCTCGAATGCTCACAATAGCCAGGCTGGGCCAGACTGAAGCCAGGATCAGAAGTGGAGTAGCTGGGACTCGAACCAGTGTTCATATGGGATGCAGGCTGAGGCTTAACCTGCTGTGATGGCACCGGCCCCCTTCCTGTTTTTGCTTTAATGGTTTTCAACTGGGTCACAGCACCCTCCCCATCAAAACTGGCCTTGGCCTCAGATCTTCCAACCAAAGCTCTGCATGTCCAGCCAGCCACGATCCAGCCTGTTAACTGTACCCTGTCTCCCCAGGCCCCTCCCGGCTTGCTCAGCTAGGACCTGGAATCCCTCGCTGTTGCCTGTACCTACACTTTGCATGGAAAAGAGTCCTTCCTTGTTCCTCCCACAGGTTCAGGTCAACTCTGGCCTTGCTGGAGGTCCAGCTCCAATGCCCCTCCTCTGGAAAGCCTTCCCTACCTTGACTTAGAAGGTCTCTCCGCCTCCCAGAACTGCCCACCCGTGTTCCCGAGGTGTGTGCTTGCCCTGCCCTGCTCCTTGGGCTGGGGGCTGCCTACGGCTGTGATTGGTCTCACTTTCTGCAGCCCCACAGGAAGCCTCAGGTGGACACCAGTGTGAGTTTAGGGAGGCAGGACCTCAGGAGGATGGCTTTTGGTGTTGCAAAGTCCAGGCCCCTGCCGGTCTGATGGAGCCTGTTAGGACTAACAAGGGGACCATCGTTGTTGCCACGATTGCGAGCTTTATTCTCGTAGGTAGGTTGGACAGCTCCCCGTGGCCCCCAGCACACAGTGGCCGTTTTTGTCCCTAGAGGCTTTGTGTGGAAAGAGCACACAAGTCCGTCTCCACCCCCTCCAAGGGGGCTGCGGAAGGGAAGCGTCTGCCCCCTCTGGGACTCGGGCTGGCCCGGGATGGGGGGGGGGCGGGGGCAGCGTTCCGTGCTGTCAGTGGTCCTGTTCCTTTTCCACTCACGGTGACACCCGGGGTCGCCTCTGAGTGTGTCACCCCTCTCTCTTACTCTGTAAATTCTGTAAATTTCCTTGGCCTGGAAACCCTCCTTCATGTGAAACACTAGGACGTCACTCACTGTGCAAGAGTCACTGTTGGGGCAGAACGTTTGGGAAAGAGGAAAGCTGAAGAGACGGTGCCAGAGTTGTGTCAGCCAGAGGCAGCGGCGTGGACCTACGGTCTGGCCCTCCCCGTCTGGTTTAACCACAGTTCACATGGTACAATCATGCAGAACTTCTCACTTTGCTTTCTGGTGTTCCGTGTTGTGGCCATAACACCCCCTGTGTGTTTTTGTTGTTGTTTAAAGATTTATTTATTTATTTGAAAGGGAGAGAGACAAAGATCTTCCATCCTCTGGTTCACTCCTCAATTGGCCACAATGGCGTTGGCTGGGCCAGGCTGGAGCCAGGAGGCCAGAGCTCCATGTGGTTCTTGCACATGGGTGGCAGAGACCCAGGCACTTGGGCCATCTTCCATGGCTTGCCCAAGCACATGAGCAGGGAGCTAGGTTGGAAGCAGAGCAGCAGATTCGCACTGATGTGGGAAGATGGCATTGCAGGATGTTTACCCTGTTGCACAACATGGGCCTCTCCCTGTGCTTTAAAAATCTCTTTATAAACTTCTATTTTTTTTTTTTTTTGGTGAATGCATTCTTTTTCTGCCTATAAAAGGAATCTCTGTTTCCTATAGAGAGTTTGGAAACCTAAGTCAGTATGGTGAGAGTAGCCCGCTGACTTCCGATCCTTCCTGTGGCTCTTCATTGCTGTTAAGGTCACAGAGTGCATTTCTTTGAGGCTTTTTCTATACCATTGGCTCATTTTTTCCTGTGGACTTTCCCTCTTAGTGTCATATCCCATGCATGTACCCCGTGTTCCTAAGCGTTCTTCACCGACATTGTCTCGATGGCTGAGTAATATTGCGTTGTCTGAAGGCATCGTGATTCGCCTCGCCTCTCCCCAGGCTTTGAGACCGGAGGCTGCTGCAAACATTGCTGGGATGACCCTTGTGGCACGATGCATCCACGTTTCAGGTTGCTTCAGGACAGACTCCCAGATGTAGAATTAGCTGGAGGTCTACACAGATGCGCGGCGTCCCCGGGAGGGCCTCGGCCGTGCCGGCTGCAGAGCTGTGGCTGGAAGGCGCCTGTTGAGCTTACGGGGCCAGGCTTGCTGTCCCTGGAGCGGCCCCTGGCTCCCAGATGGCCTGGGCGGCAGCATCCCAGCAGCCAGTCTTTTCCAGGGGATTGACTGCCTCTTCCTTTGTTCCCCAGAGCAAGAGGAGATGGAGCTGGAGGAGTTCTTGTGCCCTGTGAAGACGCCCCCTGGGTTCGTGGGGGCGGCTGCTGCCTTGCAGCCTGCCCCTGCCTTGCCCTCTGCCCTTCAGAATCTTTCCCTCAAGCACCTGGGAACTGAAATACAGTAAGTGCCCACGGGCCTGGGCTGCCCCAGCAGCTCCTGTGGAGTGTGTCTGGGCGTGGTTCCCCTGCAGGGAGGAGCCAGGGGAGGGGGAGGGGTTTTATTTTCAATTAATTAGGCTGTGACTGTCATTTAAAAAAGTATTTGAGAGACAGAGAAAGGCAGGCAGAGAGACAGCAGCCCCCCACTGTTGATCCTGCAAACGCCTGCAACATTTAGAAAGTCAAAGGTGAAAACCAGGAACTCCATTCGGGTCTCCCACGTGGTGGCAGGGACCCTGGGCCATCACCTGCTGCCTCCCAGAGTGCACATTAGCAGGAGCAGGGACTCATGCAGGCACTCCGATGTGGGACGCAGGCATCCCCAGCAACGCCTCAACCACTGCCGCACACACCTGCACCTGGCTGGGCCTCAGGGAAGCCGGGACCTCTTAGAAGGCAGAAGAGACACTCGCGGAATCTGGACCGGGGCCTGCCCATGTGTGACTCGGGCACAGGATCTCCCTCTGCTGGCTTCCACATTCGACTTTGCATGGGTATGGCCTTACCAAAAGAGAAGCAGGTTTTTGGGAAGAGATAATGAGTGTCTTTCAGAGCCTGGAGCCCAGGAGAAGGGAGGCCTGAGGGGTGTGGGGCGTGGCTGATCCGCCTAGGGCGAGTGGGCAAGGAGAGGACCTGCAGGGGATCCCCAGGAGGAAGAGGGCGCGCTGGGAGCCTGCCGCAGACAGGAGGCCGGAGGAGCCCAGCCCTGCAGCCAGCAGGCTTCCAGGGCCATCTCACCGAGACCGGGGCCACAGCAGCAGAAGTGGAGCATGAAGAGGCAGAAACCGAGAAAGGAAGGAAGTGTCCGAGGATCCATCTGTCACTTCCCCACTGTCACTGTAACAGCCACAGAAAACGTGAGGCAACCCCACAAGGGATGTGCCCCGCGCCGCAGGGAGCCCCCGGCCGAGGCCCGCGGTGAGCAGAGCCGCCTGTGTGACCGGCGGCCTTCGCCCTGGCCGCTCGTGAGCTCCTCCTGGTGTTGCCGTGGGCACGGGTCACGCTCGGGGCTTCCCGGGCACTGCGTGCAGACACCTTACGCTCTTGTTGGGCAAAGTGTGAAGTGGTACTGACTCGTGGTTAAGTTAAACCCCGGAGCTGGGCGTCCAGGGCTGATGGTCCATACCCCGCGTGCTAGTCTGTGGTTTCGGGTACCTACCCTCTCTGTCCAGCAGGGTGATAACAGCGCTTACCCTTACCCCTGGGCCGCTTTGAGAGTTAAAGGAGCAGAGCTCATGACGGTGTTCAGCCTGGGACCTGGCCCATGCAAGGGCCCGACCAGTGTTTGCTGCAGATATGTTCGTCATCCCCATGGCAACGTGGAAAGCGAAGCTCGGGAGGATGGCTGGCTGGCCCCAGGCTGTGCTTCCAGAACAAGTCTCTATGTCTGCTGCCCCTGTGCTGGCCTGGCCTTCCAGACCTGAAGGTGACTCTATGCAGGAAACGGCCCGTGAACTGCTCCAAGAAGAAGTGTTGCATTTGTGAAATGGAGGTGCCTCTTCCACCCAGTGGCCTAGCGGGGTGACAGTCACCTGAGCTGTTCAGAAGGCAGGGCGCCCTGAGGCAGAGGAGCTGCGTGCTAGGCCTTGGAAGGCCCTTTGCTGCACGGAAGTCAGGGTTTCTATGCTCCCCCCAAGCCCCAGAGGTGATAGAACCCCGGGACGTGTTGGGGAGGCAGTCCCTGACAAGGGCAGGGGTGGGCAGCAGTGACGGTCAACCTGCTCAGCCTGAGCCGTGGGCTGTAGGAGTGTGCCCCTCCCCTGGATCCCTCTCCAACCCTATGGCTTGTGGCTTGTGAAACCCATGTGACTGGGCTCAGTGCAGTGACATTCAGCAAACGGTGACACCATCGTGACTATGGTTATAGCATGACCACCACTGTTATTGTTAGGTAGAGGTAGTGAGGTAGGAAAGGCCCTTCATAGAACGGCCTTAGCAACAACGGAGGAAAAAGAATGAGAGACCATATTCCAAGGCCTGGTGCTGGGCGTGCTGAGCTCTCAATTTAACCGAGGCAAAGATACTTCCTTCTGTCAGAGAGCTGTACCTCTGTGAAAGTACAGTTTCATTCTTCTCTTACCTAGGACCCAACCATATCCTCCCCCGCAAAAAAACAGGCCTTGTCTTAAAACTGAGGTTCAGATCAACTGGTGGTTCTTTGAGAAGATCCAACAGAGCTGACAACCCTTTAGCTGGATGGACCAAGGCAAGAGAGAAGACTCAAATTATTCAAGTCAGGGACCAGCGCTGTGGCATCGAGGATAAAGCTGCCACCTGCAGTGCTGGCATCCCATATAGGCGCCGGTTCGAGTCCTGGCTGCTCCACTTCTGATCCAGCTCTCTGCTACGGCCTGGGAAAGCAGTAGAAGATGGCCCAAGTCCTTGGGCCCCTGCACCCACGTGGGAGACCTGGAAGAAGCTCCTGACTCCTGGCTTCGGATCAGCTCAGCTGTGGCTGTTGCGACCATCTGGGGAGTGAACCAGCAGAATGGAAGACTCTCTCTCTGGCTCTACCTCTTTCTGTAACTCTTTCAAATAAAATAAATTAAAAAAAAAAAAAGAAATAAAAAAATTATTCAAGTCAGGACCAAAAGAGGGGACAGAACTACCCACCTTACGGAAATAAAAAGCACTGTAAGGGAATACTACGACAACTGCCTGCCAGCAAAGCTGCTCACTCAGCTGGAACGGGAAGACTCCTGGAAAGGCCCACATCACTGACACTGACTCGAGAGGAAGGAGAATCTGTAGACATCCAGTGAATGGTAAAGAGACTGAGTTAGTGATCAGGAAGCTGCCCGCAAAGAAAAATTCAGGACCAGAGGATTTTCCTGGTGAATGCTCCAGGCATGTAAAGGGAGATGGTACGGGGATTTGGTACAGCAGTGAAGGTGCTGCTTGGGACGTCTTCATTCCATATCAGGGTGCCTGGGTTCGAGTCCTGGCCCTGCTCCCAATTCCAGCTTCCTGCTGTTGGGTCCTTGGGAGGCAGCAGGTGATGGCCCAAGTACTTGGGTCCCTGCCACCCATGTGGGAGACCCAGGTTGGAGTTCATAGCTCCTGGCTTTAGACTGGTTCACCCCAGACGGTTGCAGGCATTTGGGGAGTGAACCAGGGATGGAAGAACAATCTTTCTCTCTCTCTCTCTCTCTCTCTCTCTCTCTCTCTCTCTCTCTCTCTCTGCCTTTCAAATAAATAAATGGAAACTTTAAAAAAAAATAGAGAAGGAAGGGACGAACCCTGTCTCTGTGGACGTACAGGGGAGGGAGGGAGGGCGTGCATATTTGCTGAACAGCAGTCTAGCCTGTACCTTCACCTTCCTCTTTACTTCCCACTTGCATTTCAGCTCCGTTTTCGTGTCTAGTCCCTGGGGATTTGCTTTTTCTGGGACCTGAGCTAGGGGTTGCCCAGCCCCCAGGGGTTTGTGAAGAGGAGGTTTGCAGAGTTGTTTGCCCTCCGTCTTGCCGGAGGGAGTCTTCAGACGCAGGGCTTCTGTAATGAGGCCAGGGCTGCCACAAGTCTTCCCTTTTAACCACACTGGTGCTGCCGGTTCGGTAAATGCGCTCCTAGTGTGAGGTTTTCTAGCTGTTGGCCATGGAATACAATGAGATACACTTTTTAAAAAAGATTTATTTTATTTGGAAGTCAGAGTTACAGAGAGAGAGACAGAGAAATCCTCCATCCTCTGGTTCACTCCCCAGATGGCTGCAATAGTCAGTCTGAAGCCAGGAGCCAAGAGCTTCTTCTGGGTCTCCCTCATGGGTACAAGGACTTGGGCCATCTTCCGCTGCTTTTCCAGGCACATTACCAGGGAGCTGGGTCGGAAGTGGAGCAGCTGGGAATCGAATCAGCGCCCATGTGGGATGCCAGCACTGCAGGCGGCCCGCTGCACCACAGCGCCAGCCCTGAAATAGGTGTTTTGGGTTGTAATAGCTCAAATGCACATCTGAGTAAAATACCCTTCCTAAGAGGGGTCCACTCTGGTGTTTTTTTTCCAAGTACCACTCAGTGTGCCGAGCCAACCTCACAGCCCACAGTTTGACGCAGTGGCCTGGCGAGCCTCTTCACTCATGTTCTCTACCCTGCTGCCGTCTGTCTCCTTGAACCGCTTTGCGAGGGAAGATGAACTTGTTGAGCCATCTCCTCATCCCACTCCTCCTGAACCTGTCTGTGGCCTGTGGTGCCAGGCTGGTGCCAAGCTGGCCTTTGGTGCTACCTAGTTCCTTCCTATAAAGCCAACATCTGCAGAGCCTGGGCCCTAGGCACACGCCACCCCGTGCCTCGCACCAGCCTCGCACAGAGAAATGAGTGCCCAGTTCTTATAGACATGGTGCCGGGAGGTGCAGGCTGGACAAGTACCCATCCGACCTGCAGTGCAGGCGCCTTGGAGGCTGTGAGGTGGTCGGTGACGGCCAAAGAGAGGACAGACGTGAGCTGGGAAGGAGCACGGGGAAGGAAGGAACACGAGATGTTTGCAACCTAGAGAAGCAGGGAACCACTAGTGGTTTTTAAAAAACATTTATTTACCAATTTCCATCTCGTGAAAGGCAAGGCAAGAGAGAGAAGAGAAAGAGAGAGAGAGAGGTCTTCCATCCTCCTGTTCACTCAATGCCTGCAGCAGCCAGGGCTGGGCCAAGCCATAACCAGGAGCTTGGAACTCCATGTGGGTCTCCCACGTGGGTGGCAGGGGCCCAAGCACTTGAGCCATCACCTGCTGCCTCCCAGGATGCATCAGCAGGGAGCTGGATCAGAAACAGAGCAGCCAGGACTCAAACCAGGCACTGGAACATGCGAGGTGGGTGTCCCAGGTGGTGGTTTAACCCCCTGCACCACAGTGACCACCCGCACTGGTGGTTGTGAGCCCAGATGGTTAGAAGTTAGAAGACCAGATGGAGATGTCGAGAAAGTTAGCTCGGCGACCCATTCTGCGTTCACTGCACCTGCCACAGCATTCAGCACGGCCTGCTTTTCAGACACTGTTCCGGGCGTTCTGGCTGCATCGGTGAGCGGAGCAGAGCAGCCTCGCTGCACCCGTGGAGCCTGTACTCCAGCAGCAGGGTTGGGAGCGAGGGAGGCCAGCTTGTGTTGGTTAGACGCAGCTTAGCGTGTGGCAGGGGGTAAGTGAGAAGAGGACTGGGTGTGGCATGCAGGGGGCCCGGAGACCACCTGGGACAACTGGGGTTGTGGGGGTGAGGCCTGATCTCCAGCAGAGGCACCAGGGAGGGTGGGGGGGCTGTCAGCCTGATGCTCCTCTGTTCTCTGTTCAGGAACACAGTGCACAACATCCGTGGCAACAAGCAAGCCCAAGGAACAGGCCACGGCTGTCCAGGGGAGGAGTCACAGAGTGGGGAGCCTCAGCGGGAGGAGCAGCCCTCGGTCCCTGACCCCAGCGCCCCAGGTGAGGTCTGTGTGGCTCTGAGCCACCCTCAGAGACCAGCCTCTTGGCACTGGAATGAGTGCCTTCTCTCGCAAACCGGCACACTGCGTGAGTGCGTGCATGCCCCTTGGTGTTTGTGGCTACTGTAACAGGTTACTGTAGACGGTGTGGCCTATACAGCAGACATTTCCAGCAGTTGTGTCATACCTGGAAAGTCCAAGATCAAGGGGCTGGCAGATTCCATGTCTGCTGAGGGCTCTCTCGGTGGCCTGCAGATGGCTGCCTTCTTGCTGTGTGCACACACGGCTGAAAACGAGAGCTCTGGGCTCTTCCTCTTCTTCTGAGGGCGCTCATCCTCTCAGTGGGACCCCACCCTCAGGACCTCGTCTATGTCTAACCCCCGCCCCGGGGCCCCACCTCCTAATACCGTTGCATTGAGGATCATGGCACCTGTATCGGCTGGGGGTTGGGACGCGCACGTCCAGTCTCTGGTCATGAGTCGGGGGTAAAATCTTCAGCTCACTCCTGGGTTTCCAGGGTGGAGGAGCAGTGCTCTTCTTAAACAACTGTAAGATGAGGCCAAGGCCGGCGCCGCGGCTCACTAGGCTAATCCTCCGCCTAGCGGTGCCGGCACACCGGGTTCTAGTCCCGGTTGGGGCGCCGGATTCTGTCCTGGTTGCCCCTCTTCCAGGCCAACTCTCTGCTGTGGCCAGGGAGTGCAGTGGAGGATGGCCCAAGTGCTTGGGTCCTGCACCCCGTGGGAGGCCAGGAAAATACCTGGCTCCTGCCTTCGGATCAGCGCGGTGTGCCAGCCGCAGCGCGCCGGCTGCGGTGGCCATTGGAGGGTGAACCAACGGCAAAGGAAGACCTTTCTCTCTGTCTCTCTCTCTCACTATCCACTCTGCCTGTCAACAACAACAACAAAAAATAGCGGCAAGCCTGCTGTGTGAGCACTTTCAGGCGCACAGTGCAGCGCACCGAGTGTGTTCTCACCGCCCGTCCCCAGAACTTGCTCCTCTTCCCAAACTCAAACTCTCAGCAAGAGCTCTCAAAACAATAAACGGAAACGTTTTCCTCGGTTTGATCTTTTTTAACTTCTAAGGAAAAGGTATTTAAAAAATGCCTTTCAGGGGTGATTGCAATCAGATCTGATGTGGAGCACCCAATCAGTCAGTCTACTGGTTTGTCATTTCCCACAGCGTGAGTGGCCCACATCATCATGGCTTTGACTTCCGTGGAACTGGCACTGGTGGCCTCGGAACATATTTTAACTCAGAAGCAGTTGGGAGAGAACTGGCAAAGGCGGCCCTGTGGGGTCTCCTGTGGCATGGAGTCCCCCCGGGCTGGGTGGAAGGGACACTGGGATAGGCACCCCTTTGAGTAGTCAGCGCCCAGTGGGGTCCCCCAAGATCACAGCGTGCCGTCCAGGAGGCCCGGGCTGTGTCGAGTCAATGGCAGTAATTACGGGCTGTGGCTGCACAAAGCCCTTCTTTTTTTGTGACTGCTTTATTAAGGTGTAATTCGTCTGCTGGACAACTCCGCCGCTTGAATGTTGAGTTCAGTTGCCTCTAGTGTATGCCCAGAGTTGGGCAGCCATCACCATGACACTTTGAGAAGAATTGTGGAGAGGCCCCACAGCCGTTTGCCATCAGCCTGCAAGGCCCACCTGGTCCCAGCCCTGCACAGGTCACTTCCTGTGTCTTGGGATGAGCCCATGCTGCAGGCTTCCTGCGACAAGAACGCACCATGCGACCCTGCGTGTCTGGCTTCCCGCCCTCTGCGCAATCTCTCATCTCTGCATGGGCACCAGGCACATCCCAGCAGCTGCAGATGTGTGGACACTTCTCATTCCCACCGATAAATGAGGAAACTGAGGCATGGAAACAAGAGACAGCCCGCTCACGGCCCCACAGCGAGCGACGGGGCCAGGATTCCGGGCAGTTAGTGTAGCCCCATCCTGCTAACTGGACCTGAGATGGTGGTTTTCCAGACTGTGTCTTTATTGTCACAAAACTTTGTCCACAACCCCCCCCCCCAACCCAGCACACACACACACCTCACAATAAAGCAGATCCAGGCAGAGTGGTGGCAGGACTGGAAGTTGGGGGTGCTCCCCTGTACCCCAGCCCTTGAGGGCCCACACAGTGTGAAATCTCAGGGCACTGGTCAAAAACCACTGCCTTAGGCCTCTTTTTCTCCACCCATAAAATGGGCACAGTGGTCCCTTGCCGCCATCCTCAGAGGTGGTGGAGGGGGCAGCAGGGCTGCCCCTCTGAGCTCTGCTGTCTGCTTTGTGCCTGGTAAGACTAGACCTCCCTCGGGTATGGAAGGCCACTCTGCTCTGGTGCGGAGCGAGCGGAGGATTCTGGTCCTGTCCCCCACTGTTCAGCACTGTCTGCTAGCCCTCAGCCCCATCTCCAGAGAAGATGCTCATCCAGTCCTTCCTCCGGCCCCTGCCAGACCCCTTCCCTGGGGTCAGCTTTTTTTTTTTTTTTTTTTTTTTTTTTGGTACAGAGCCACATAGTGAATATTTGAGGCTTTCTGGGCCTTTGCATCTCTTCTTGGTTGCAGGTACTCAGCTGTGTCTTTGCAGAGTGAAAGCAGCCGTAAGCAATAAATATGTGGACAAATGGGCACAGCTGTATTCCAATAAAATTTCATCTACAAAAGCAGATGGTGGGCAGGGTTTGGCCTGTGAACTAAAGGCTCCGGAACCTTGCTCTAGAAGAAATAAAAGGACTCTGCAGCCTTGCAGCAGTCAACTGTAGGAAATATGTCTCCTGATTAGCAAATGAGGGTGGGAGCTATCCTCTGGGCAGGGATGCAGAGTCCAGAGATGTGTGCCCTGCTCCCACCAGCAGACAGGTGTGGAGCCTGGCATCGTGACGGTGGGGTAAGCCTGCAGTGCCAGCATCCCGTATTTGAGTCCTGGTTCTTTTTTTTTTTTTTTTTTTTTTTTAACAGGCAGAGTTAGACAGTGAGAGAGAGACAGAGAGAAAGGTCTTCCTTTGCTGTTGGTTCACCCACCAATGGCTGCTGCGGCTGGCACACTGCACAGATCCGAAGCCAGGAGCCAGGTGCTTCTCCTGGTCTCCCATGCCGGTGCAGGGCCCAAGCACTTGGGCCATCCTCCACTGTACCCCCGGACCACAGCAGAGAGCTGGACTGGAAGAGGAGCGACCGGGACTAGAACCCAGTGTGCTGGTGCCGCAGGCAGAGGATTAGCCTTTTGAGCTGCAGCGCCGGCTGGAGTCCCGGTTCTTGAGTCCCAGCTGCTCTGCTTCCAATCCAACGAATGCATCTGGGAAGGTAGCAGAAGGTGACCCGAGTCCTTGGGCCCCGGACAAACACATGGGAGACCCAGATAGAGTTCCAGGCTCCTGCTTCAGCCTTACCCAGCCCCAGCTGTTGCTGCTACCTTTGGGGAGTGATCCACTAGATGGAAGATTGATCTCTGCTCTTCGAATAAATAAGTCTTTTTTTTTTTAAAAGGTCTATTTGAAAGTAGCATGGAGGGTAGAGACAGGATCCTGCAATAAACAAGATACCTTGCCAGGCCTGTGCCTGAGGAGCTGGCCCTGTGGCAGACTGCAGGGTAGTGTGGGACACACCAGGCAGGTTGGGGCCCCAGGGTAGGGAACAGACACAGTATAAGAATGAGAACGGCACAGTGTAAATGATGGCTCCATATGCCTTTGGTTCAAGAATGGTCCCTGGACAAGCTGTGGCAGCATCACCTAGAAACCGTTCAGAAAGCCGAGTTCTCAAGCCCATTAAACCCAGAGCCCTGGGAGTAAGGCTCATTGGTCTGCATTTTCAAACATTACTTACTTACTTACTTGTTTGAAAGGCAGAGTGACAGTGACAGAGATCTTCCATCTGCTGCTTCACTCTTCAAATGCCTGCCACAGCCAGACCTGGGCCAAGCTAAAACTCAATCTGGTCTCCTGCGTGGATGGCCGGGACCCAGGTACTTGAGACGTCACTTACTGCCCCCCAGGGTGCCCGTTAGCAGGAAGCTGGGGTCGGAGTGGAGCTGGGACGGATTCCCAGGCACTCTGGTGCGGGTGTGGGTGTGGGTGTCCCAAGCAGCGTGTTAACTGCCAGGCTGAGTGCCCACACCCAACGGTCTGTGTTTACCAAGCCCTGCAGGTGTTCCTGGAGCCCCCGATGTCAATCGTAACCTCAGCCTCTGTCTTCTCGTGCAGGGAAAGAGCCGGCGGGGTCTCCAAAGCCCGCCCCCAAGTGCTCCCTGGCCGCCAGTCTCATTCAGAAAGCCAAGCTCCAGAGCAACACCTTCCCGCTCTTTTCCGAAGGGCTCCTGCGGACCCGGACTGCGCAGGAGAAGGTGGCGGCCTTGGAGCAGCAGGTCCTGATGCTCACCAAGGAGCTGAAGTCCCAGAAGGTGAGTTCTGGCCCAGGGAGGCCTCGGGCACCGCCCACCCAGACCCCGAGCGTCCTGTAGAGCTGGACGTGGTGCAGTGGGCACAGGCCAGGCTGTGGTCCTTAAAGAACCCGCTGCAGGAGGTTGGAAATGCTGCACTCTGGATTACTCGGGAACATGCTGTCACTCAAACGAGGTGACAAAAGCCACCAGGAGCAGGGGTGCTGGAGAGCTGCTTGACACATGGCCTGACCCCACCCCTGAAGAGGACAGTGCTTGGGGGAGGTGACCGGGGTCCTGGGAGCAGCTGCTGATGGAATTGACTGCTGAGGGACCATTGGCCGACCGTGACAGGACAGGAGGCAGGGAGGATCTGCGCGACCCCAGGGCTGAGCCAGGATCGACACGGAACAGCAGTAGGGAGGAAGACTTAGGCTTAATTCAGTGAGAAGTTTTCCCCAGCACGGTCTCTGCGTTTCTATTGCTGTAACCGAATACCAAGACTGGGTGCCTTGTGACGGACACAGACACTGGCTCGCGGTCCTGGGGCAGTGGCACCGGGCTGGGGCCTCCGGCTGCGAGGGGATGAGTGAAAGGTGCACACAGCAGGGACGGCCTCACTTTACGGCTGCTTGCTCTCGCGGTAGCTTGCGCCCACGAGAACTCACTCAGTCCCGCGAGAGCGGCGTTAACCCCTGCAGGAGGGCCGAGCCACTGTCACCCCGCACGTGGGGAGGGACCCGCTGCCTCGCAGTGCTGTCACATGGCAGACCAGATTTCAGCACGACTTCCTGAGGGGGCCAGACCATACCCAGACCTTAGCCGGGAGTTACAGACGTCAAAGCTACCTGTTCATTGTAAAAAAAATGGATCTCACACGCACAGCATTAAAATCAGTGACAAACCAAGTTCAGATGCAGAGGCCGTGTCGGGAAGCAGCGGGGATCTCTTGGTAGAGGTGGGAGGGGCCTGCAGCACCGGGCAGAACCCTCTCTTGTAATTGACAGAGCAATTCAGTTAGCCAGGTTGTCACCATAAATGCCTGCAGCGACAGGGTCCACCGAGGGCTCAGGCTCCCTCGCCCCCGAGAGAAAGGCCTAACCGGGTGTGTCGGCTTTGGTGGCTCCTCGCCCCTCACCACCTCCATAGCTTAGCCTGGGTCAGGGCTGTGGGGGTTTACGTGTGATCCTTCTGCCCCTTGGACAATGCCCTCTGTTCCTGTTGGCTCCAGTTTTGGAGAAGACAATCTAGACAGACGCTTTGCGCTGCCTTTCCTCCCCTAGGGCAGTGAGCACTGATGGCTGGTCTTAGGGGAGCCGGTAGGTGTGGGTTATGGTGCGGAGGCAGCTGGTGAGGAGCGCTCTCGAAGGACGGAGGCCACTCACCCAGTGTCAGTGTGTGGGTTTATTCACCAGGTCTTAGTCAAGGGCCCGCAGGGTTCCGGGGCTCAGAAAAGATCAGAGAGCAAAGGACACAGGCCCAGTCCTCCCAGGGGTTACACCCCAGTGGCAGAGGCAGACACCCAACACGTAACTGCTACACGCCAAGTCCCCTCTGACACTGTCTGCTTTCCTGCCGGCCGTGAGGATGCTGGGTGCCCCTAAGAGTGGCCAGGTTATTGAGCTCAACTCTGGCAGGCACTGGTCCCTGCACCAGCGGAGCTGAGGTCCCGAAGCTAAACCTGGAAGGGGGAAGCCATCCCGAATGTAGGCACTGCCTCTCGCCTCTCACCGCATCACCACTTGCTTTTGGAATACGGGGCCGCCTCCTGTGACCCAGCCGTTCTCTCTCCAGCCTTAGGGGCTGTCTCCCATGATAGGGAGGCCCCTGACTTCTACGTGCTTGGAGGACTCATTCTTTGTCCCAAAATAAAGGCAGCCCTGCGGGAGATCCATAGGGCGGCGCCCATCCACTCTGAGGGAGGAGGTCAGGAGCAAGTCACTGAAGCCTGAAAGAATCAGATTCTTTATTATTATTATTATTATTATTATTAAAAAGCAGGCAGAGTACGGTTAGTATAACTTTTTTAAAAATTTATTTTATTTATTTTTTGAAAGAGTTACAAAGAGGTTCAGAGAGAATCTTCCATCCACTGGTTCACTCCCCAAGTGGCTTTGACAGCTGGAGCTGCGCCAATCCAAAGCCAGGAGCCAGGAACTCCCTCAGGGTCCCCCACATGGGTACAGAGGCCCAAATACTTGGGCCATCTTCTACTGCTTTCCCAGGTGCACTAGCAGGAAGCTGGATTGGAAGTGGAACAGCCGGGACTTGAACCAGCACCCATATGGGATGCTGGCACCACAGACTGGGGCTTGAACCTGCTGTGCCACAGCTCTGGCCCTCGAATCTGATTCTTTTACAGGGCAACTTTCCCATAGTCCTGAGCCCTCCATCCTTAGACAGGTGGCCGGGGCTGGTTGTCTGAGACTTAGGGTCCAAGAGGGTCCACCTGCTCTGGCCCATTGCTAGGTGTGCTTCTGTCTGGGGGTGACTCAGAGCTAGGCCTTGATGGGAGACAGCACAGGCGCACGATGTGACCCTGAGCAAATCTCTTAACCTCGCCAAGCCTCAGTTTCCTCTTCTGTGGGTGGAGCTGAGTTTCCTGGGGAGACCTGTGCCTGCAATCATAAAGGCCACATTAGGGAACCAGCTCTGGGGTTTCGCCTGGAGCCCAGATCCTGAAGCCAAACAGCTGAAGGAGGCTGACTCAGGCCTAACCTTGGGGTGGAAGAGGCTGGCACAGCCTTCAGCTGCCCAGTGGTGTCCCAGGCACTCAGAAATGCTGAGTTGAGAGCCGCCATGCATCCAGTGCGCCACACTCTGCAGGGGCCAGATCGACAAGGTGCTTCCCTGTGTGTGTCTCTAGTGGGAGGCACCATCTTTCTTTTTTAAAAATTTATCTATCTATTTGAAAGGCAGGGGTTAGAGAGAAAGGGAGAGACAGAGAAAGAGAGATCTTCCTTCTGCTGGTTCACTTCCCAAATGGCTGCATCGACTGGAGCTGGGCCGATCTGAATCCAGGATCCAGGAGCTCCCTCTAAGTCTCCTTCATGGGTGCAGGGATCTGAGCACTTGGGCCTGCCTCTTCTGCTTTCCCAGGGGCACTAGTGGGGAGCTGGATTGGAAGTGGAGCAGCTGGGACTCAAACTGGCGCCCATATGGACTGCTGGCAATGCAGTGACTTAACCCACTAAGCTATAGTGGCAGCCCCACAGCACCATCTTCTACCTCCAGTTTTAGAAAATCATGGGAAAGAAGGTCTTTTCCCAGGTCACACAGTTAGGTGGTCATTGTCAATGGCTTCAGTGACCTCTCAGACTCTGTGTGGTGCTGTGGAGGGCACACTGGGGCCATAGCCCTGCCCCAAGACCTCACCGTCCAGTAGGGAAGAGGCACTGTAGCTACGAGTAACTGCTGGTACCCAGCTGGGCCCGGCAGTACGAGCGAGCTTTCCGTGCGTCAACTCCAGTCCTTACGACGCTACCATCTCCCTCACCTGAAAGGAAAGCCGAGGTTCCGGTAGCTTCCGCATGCCCACCGTGGCCCACAAGCTGAGCCAGGACTCAGGGGCGGTGAGTGACTTGCCCCAGCTTACACGGCTGGCAGAACCAGGAGCGGGGACCCAGTCTGGAGCTCCCATCCCAGCTGGCTGCCTCCTCTCCTCCGGAATTTCACAGTAAGCCCAGCACCAGACGCAAACAAGCACCAGACCTGCCTTTCGGAGAAAAACACACGCACTCCCTGTGCCACCCTCGTGTCCGGTTAAACCACAGGCGACTCTGAACCTGCTAAGCCACTGCCTGTCCCTATACCTGCAGTACTGGCCCCAGGAGAGGCATGGACCCCAGGAAGTAGCAGCAGGTGGCTGACTGCCAGGTGACTAAGGCCCTGGGCGTTGGCAGAGCCCGCAGGCCGTCTGCTCTGGCAGGTGGCCGGCTGCTGTCTGTGACTGTGGCCATCTGGTGGCTGCTGGGAGGGGTGAGCCCCTTGGGGCCTGGGCACTCTGGGGCCCCCGTAGCTCAGCCGGGGGTTACTTGGTAAGGGCTTGCTCCTTGTTTAGTGGCCCATTTAGTGGCTCCATTTTAGTTATTAGAAGCTAAGGTTCAGGGGAGTGACCAGCCTGAGGCCACCATCGTGAGAGAGCCCTGTGGGTCTGGGGTAGGTACCGAGACCTGGGTAGCACCAGGCTGGCACTCCTTTATCTGAGCTCTCTGAGGCCCACCTGCTTTGATTTTAGTGAGGAAAATGTCAATGGTACAGTAAGGTAAAGGATTATCTTATTTTTATCATTTTTTAAAGATTTATTTCATTTATTTGAAAGACAGATTTACAGAGAGAGGTAGAGACAGAGAGCGAGGTCTTGCATCCGCTGGTTCACTCCCCAAATGGCCGCGATGGCCGGAACTGTGCCAAGCTGAAGCCAGGAGCCAGAAGCTTCCTCCAGGTCTCCCACGTGGGTGCAGGGGCCCAAGGACCTGGGCCATCTTCTGCTTTCCCAGGCCGTCTTAGAGAGCTGGATCAGAAGTGGAGCAGCCGGGACTCAAACTAGCACCCATAGGGGATGCTGGCGCTTCAGGCAAGGGCTTTAACCCACTGCGCCACAGCGCCGGCCCCAAGGATTATCTTTTAAAAATAATAAATGACAACTTAGGACAATAGATGATAAGTTAATCAAAATATGAAATGGGGACCGGCGCAGTGGCTCACTTGGTTAATCCTCCGCCTGTGGCACCAGTATCTCATATGGGCGCCAGGTTCTATTCCCGGCTGCTCCTCTTCCAGTCCAGCTCTCTGCTGTGGCCCGGGAGTGCAGTGGAGGATGGCCCAAGTGCTTGGGTACCTGCACTCGCATGGGAGACCAGGAGGAAGCACCTGGCTCCTGGCTTCGGATTGGCGTAGCTCCGGCCGTAGCGACCATTTGGGGGGGTGAACCAATGGAAGGAAGACCTTTCTCTCTGTCTCTCTCTCACTGTCTAACTCTACCTGTCAAATAAAAAAAAAAAAAAAAAAAACTGAAATGG